CAGTGGCCACTGCCGCAGGCTTTTTTTTTTTTTTTTTTTTTTTTGAGACAGAGTCTTGCTCTGTTGCCCAAGCTGGAGTGCAGTGGCTCGATCTTGGCTCACCGCAACCTCTGCCTCCTGGGTTCAAGAGATTCTCCTGCCTCAGCTTCCCAAGTAGCTGGAATTACAGGTGCCTGCCATCATGCCCGGCTAATTTTTTTTATTTTAGTAGAGACTAAATAGTTCCACCATGTTGGCCAGGCTGATCTCAAACACTTGACCTCAGGTGATCCACCCACCTTGGCCTCCCAAAATGCTGGGATTACAGGCATGAGCCATCGCGCCGGCCTGCTGCAGGCTCTTAAGTACCCCATCCCTGCTGCTCTGGCTGCTGTCCCCCACCCAGGCCTCTTCCCTTCAGTCAGCAACTATAGGGTTAACGTCTGGTGCAGCTGGTGAGCACACACATGCATGCACACACACTGCTCTGGCCCAGGGGCACGCTGTCCCAGTTGTTTATAATTTCAACTTCTAGTTTAGATTCAGGGGTACCTGTGCAGGTTTGTTACATGAATGTACTGCATGACGCTGAGGTTTGGAGGACGTATGATCCTGTCACTCAGGTAGTGAACACAGTACCCAATAGTTAGTTTTTCCACCCATGCCCTCCTCCCACCCTCCCCCACCCATAGTTCCCAGTGTCTCCTGTTCCCATCTTTATGTCCCTGTCTCAGTCGCTGAATGTTGTGACTCTCGCCCCTACCTGTAAGCTCTAGCATGATCCCAGCTCCACCTCGTCTGGCCTCTCGTGCTGTCTGCACTGCACCCACTCTGCCCTTCCTTCAACCCTCTGCTCCTTTCCCTGCCTCTGGGGCTTTGCACAGGCTGCTCTCTAAGACCAGCATATTCTCCCTCGCTTCATCTCATTCGCCCCTGCTCCTCCCTCAGCTCAGCTGTTTCTTCCTCATGGTAGCCTTCTCTGACCTCTGACTCTAAGGAAGTCCTCTCATATACGCTCTGCCTTCCATTCATGGTTCCTAACATAGTTTTTGGTATGCATATCTGTTTATGTCATTATTTGATTAATAGCTGTCACTGCCAATAGATTACAGTTCAGAGTGGATAAGGACCATGATTTTAAAATGAAATTATTCTATTCCTTCAGCCCAGCTCTCCATATACATGTGGAGATGCACAGGAAGTACATTGGACACAGCCATCTAAAGTGCAAACAATAAATTTTAAAATTGGCATTCATATAAGGGGGCTCATGTATGCATGCATGTGTGTGTTCTTACATATAAATTTCTTCTTTCCTGTAGACATGGTAATGATAATGATGATAGAACATTAGTAGGCACAGTCTATGCAACAAGGAACTGCCCTGAATATTCAGACATCTCTTATATAAGCCAAGAGTTCCTCTTTCTACACTACTTAATTACTTCCTATTATGGCAAACAGTATGCATTCTTTCCACAAAAACATACCATTTGAAAGTGTGTTACTTATGTAAGGATAAGTATTTGCCCTGTTACCACCACCACAGTCCATCAGCTCAGAAGATTCAAGCTGAAAGCAAATTATCTTGCCATGACCCCGGGACAACAGCTTGCTTTTATGCGTGTTTTAAAGAGCAGAAAGCTCTAGTAGCATTAAGAGGCTGGCCCTGTGCACATTAAGCAGATGCAGGATCGTCCCGCTGGGTGCACTCGTGGGTTTCATGCAGGCATGGGTTCAGTCACTGGAGTCCTTCCCCCACTACCAGGACTGTCCCGCCAACAGCAAAACCAAACTGCCCTGTGCAACCAGAATGAGGTTCAGAGAACCCTGATCAGCTCCTTTCCAGGCGCAGTCACCCGCAGCTACCTGTCCTGCTCAGCCATAGACCATAAGACAGGGACCAACAGGGCCACATCTGGCAGCTGTGGGAATTAACCAGCAGCAAGGGGCTTTGCGCTCGATGCATCCTTTCGTTCCCTTCTGACACTCATTGCCTAACTTGCAGCAGTATCCTCTTTGAAAGAGAGGCCAGGCTTAGCCAGGACTGCAGTCTTGAGTCTGAGGCAGGAGCCTCCCTTCAACCTCAAGCAGGGCTGACAGCCACTTGTCACTGGCGCTGAGCCGATCGGAAATGGTGTCAATAAAGTGCAAATAATGCCTCAGTGCTTGCTGCTCTCTGAGCCCAAAATGAACCGAAGAGGTGCTCTGAGGAGAGAAGGCAGAGTGACAAGGCAGTTACACCAAGGCCTCTCCAACGGGAGACCAATCAGGACATAGCTATTCCCCGGGTGGCATCAAAATCTTCCAATTTCACACAGAAAATGAGTCCTGGCTCAAGTCTCACACACGTTCAGTTGTCCCCATTTTAGCTGAATGGATTCCTTTGACAGCTAAAATCTTAACCCTTGGAAGGCCTCTGAAGGTGTGATTCACCTCCACTGAGAACTGCACTGCAGAGAAACACATCTGCAATTCTCCAGTCATAGCAAGAACAAAGAAAGCCTCCAGGTGTGCATCTCTGCAAGCCCAAGAACACATCCCAGGTGGAGAGAGTGAGCAATCCCCCTGCCTATGGGGGGCTGGGGCAACACAGCTGGAGCCTGTGCAGCTGCTTTTGGAGGTGTGGTGCTAAGAAGGTCCCAGACCCTGTCTCCCGAACAACTCTCACACCAGGACCCTCACCCTGCCCCCAGACTTTGCTGCATCCACCTCTTGGCATCAAAAAATGGGCTCAGACTTTCAACCTGCTGTGCAAAGGTCAGCCTGAGCGGATGCTTGGTTACAACCACCACAATGTCCTTTGGGCTGTGGATATGTGGATGTTGGCATTTCTGGGTGGAGGGATGAGAAAAGGGGTGGAGGGCCTGGTCCCTCATCCAGTTTGCAAATTCCAGTCAGGTCCACATACCTCACTTTCCCTCTAAAGTGCACTGCCAGAGGCTTTGCTTCCTATCACACACCTACTTCTGTTTCCTATCACACACCACACTGCTCCATTCTCTCTGATCTTTTAGCTGTGAATTTCTGCCACTGCAAGACCATCTTAATCCAAATGGGGTCTCAGTCCTAGGAGTAGGGGCAGGTAGTACTTTGCATTTTATTTATTTATTTATTTACTTACTTATTTATTATTTATTATTATTATTTTTTTGAGACAGAGTTTCACTCTGTTGCCCAGGCTGGAATGCAGTGGTGCGATCTCAGCTCACTGCAATCTCCACCTCCTGGGTTCTAGCAATTCTTCTGCCTCAGCCTCCCAAGTAGCTGGGACTATAGGCGTGCACCACCATGCCCGGCTAATTTTAGTATTTTTAGTCGAGACAGGGCTTCACCATATTGGCCAGGCTAGTCTTGAACTCTTGACCTTGTGATCTGCCCACCTCGGCCTCCCTAAGTGCTGGGATTACAGGTGTGAGCCACCACGCCCAGTCTATTTTATTTTATTTTTGAGATGGAGTCTCGCTCTGTCACCCAGGCTGGAGTACAATGGCATGATCTGGGCTCACTGCAACCTCTGCCTCCTGGGTTCAAGCAATTCTCCTGTCTCAGCCTCCCAAGTAGCTGGGATTACAGGCATGCACCACCACGCCCAGCTAATTTTTGTATTTTTAATAGAGATGGGGTTTTTCCACGTTGGCCAGGCTGGTCTCAAACTCCTGACCTCAGGTGATCTGCCCGCCTCAGCCTCCCAGAGTGCTGGGATTACAGGTGTGAGCCACTGCACCAGACGGTATTTTGCATTTTAAACAGGGGCAGGAAGGGTAGGGAAACTGTAGATGAGGGGGTAGGACAGAGGCATGTGGCCCATGGAAAAGTTAACCTACATTCAGAAAATCTGGCCCTGCTAGCTTGGAAAAGTCATACAAGCCACTAAAGTACAGAGGAACCATGAAGACATTATGCTAAATAAAAGAAGTCAGTCACAAGAAGTACAAATATAGCAGGATTCTGCTTCTGTGAGGTCCCTATAATAATTCGTAGAGATTGGAAGTTGAAGGGTGGTCACCAGGGGCTGGGGAGTAGTCGGAAATGAAGCGTAAGTGTTTAAAGAGTACAGAGTTTCAGTTTTGCAACATGAAAAGAGTTCTGGAGATGATGATGGTTACAGGATAATATGAATGGACTTAATCCCATTGAACCGTATGCCGAAAAATGGTTAAGACAGGAAATTCTATGCTGTATATTTTACCACAATTAAGAACACATTTTTAATGGCTAAGATGGTTTTAAAAAGGTCGCAATGGATAAGTGTATTCTAAATTAGAAACAATTAGCATGTGTAACTAAACAACTTAATTGGCAGGCAAGTATCTACAAACAAACAAAACCTGTCACCAATCCACAACCCCAAACCGCACACCTGTTCCCTTCCTGGAGGGTCATTTCCTCTCTATTCAGTCAGTTCCTGGATCTTTGGCTCCAAGCCTGAGTCTCTGCCCTCCAACCCAACCCGAACACATTTTGTTTCCTAGCCAGCCCCTCCTGAAGCTAAGGCTCAGCTGTGTCACTCAGGAGCCCTGGAGTGCCAGCCTCTGTGCCAGCCCCGCCACCCTCAACCCAAGCCCACCTGCCTTTGTCAGCACCTGACCAAAGCGGGGCCTCATTCCCCGACTTTCTTCTCAGGCTAGCCGAGAACCCACACAGACTGCCGGTGGACAAAGGAGACTGAACGTCCCTACTGACACAGTATCTTTCAAAGGCTCTTCCTCCTGCCCCAATTCAAAGGCCACATATTCTAAGACAACAGCAGGGACTGACTGGAACTTCTAAGCGAGGAGACTGCAGGGGATCTATGCGGGCCTCGCCCACACTGTTCAGGCATCAGCACTTCTCTGTGGGGCCCTGGGCCACGGCAGAAGTGGAAACAGCAAGGTTAGGGCCTTCCGCAGGCAGAAGCCATGGGGGAGTTTTGAGGCCACTGGGAAAAGGTTAATAGAGGCAGTTTCAAAGCTCTCAGGAAATGGCATCAGGCAAGAGCTACTCTTCAGAGACAACAGGCCTGCCTCCATCCCGCTTACCTGGTTACAGGTGTTAATGTCTACCCCATTCCGCAGGTGATCCAAAGCTTTGTCCAAGTTACCTGATCTTGCTGCTCTCAGAAAGCTGGTAGCAGCATCGGCCTGTGAGGAAAAACAACAGGCATTGAGTGTCCTGGGTATATTAATGACTTCTCTGCCCCATTCAAGCCCCAGGCCCCTGCAGAAGCCCCTGCATCCTCTGATGTGGCACCCTGGTGCCCACAGTGACACCAGGTGTGCACAGGAGCCCTAGAGCCCCTGGTTGGACTGTTCTTGGGGTGAACCGCCTTCACACCCAGGCCTCCTTTCCCGTGGTTTTTCGTTTTTGTTTTTTTAAGAGAGTCTTACTCTGTCACCCAGGCTGCTGGAGTGCAGTGGCACAAGCACAGTTCACTGCAGCCTTGAATTCCTGGGCTCAAGAGATCCTCCCAAGTAGCTGGGACTACAGGTGTGCACCACCATGCCCAATTATTTTTTTTAAACTTTTTTATAGAGACAGGGCATCACTATGTTGCTCAGGCTGGTCTCAAACTCCTGAGCTCAAGCGATCCTTCCACCTTGGTCTCCCAAAGTGTTGGGGTTACAGGCCTGAGCCACCGTGCCTGGTCCCCTTTCGGTATTTTTATAACCAAATGTTCTTGGTTTGGACTCAGGAAGTATCAGCCTTTGAGAGGGAGCCCATTCCAATGGCAAGCACACAGCACAACCTGGTGTCTCCTTGCTCTGAGGTTTCGGGGGCTCCAGTCTTGCTGAAGAGTTTGCAATATCACAGAGGTCCCTGGCCCCAAGAGTCATGAATGCAGGCACCAAAGGAACCAAGCCTGGGCTCTTTGGAACTGTTTTGTGTTTTTATTTGCCTGTTTTTCCTTTTTAGAGATGGGGTCTCACTATGTTCCCCAGGCTGGTCTCGAACTCCTGGGCTCAAGCAATCCTCCTGTCCCGGCCTCTGAAAGTGCTGGGATTACAGGCATGAGCTACCATGTCCGGCCCTGTGTTTTTGTTTTTTAAGTAAACAGCACATAGCACTTACTATGTGTTAAGAACCATTATTAGCACTTTACATATACAGTCAAACCCATTTATTCAACCAACCGTGGATGGAAAATTTGCAGGAAAAGAAAATAAAAATAACGATACTAAAATAAAAAGGAATACTAACAGAAGGCCGGGTGTGGTGGCTCACGCCTGTAATGCCAGCACTTTGGGAGGCCGAAGCAGGTGGATCACGAGGTCAAGAGACTGAGACAATTCTGGCCACCATGGTGAAACCCCATCTCTACTAAAAATACAAAAATTAGCTGGGCGTGGTGATGTGCGCCTGTAGTCCCAGCTACTCAGGAGGCTGAGGCAGGAGAATCACTTGAACCTCGGAGGTGGAGGTTGCAGTGAGCCAAGATCGCACCACTGCACTCCAGCCTGGTGACAAAGCAAGACTCTGTCTCAAAAAAAAAAAAAAAGTAATACAGAAAAGCAATGCTGTATAACAATTATTTACAAAACACGTACATTAGGTATTATAAGTAATCTAGAGATGATTTAAAGTATATATGAGGATGTGGGTAGGTTATATGCAAACACATTATCACTTTATATGAGGAACTTGAGGAATCTGTGGATTTTGGTATCTGCAGTGGGTTCTGGAACAAATCTCCCACGGATACCAAAGGATGACAATAATATATATTCACACACATGCACACGCACACATGTGCATTTTATCCTAATTTTAAATACCCAAGAGGTAAGTAGGATTGCAGAGTCCCATTTTATAGATGAGCGGGCTGAGGCACAGAGAGCAGAAGTGCCTCGTGCAGCGTCCCACAGCAGGGAGGAGGCACAGCTGGGACTCAGATGCAGGCAGTGTGACTCCAAAATTCATGAGCTGAACCTCCCAGCTCTGCAGCCAGCTTGGTCTCAGCTTTAACACCGGGTGCCCCCCACCAGATTTATTGAATGAGAGTGAAGCCTTTCTGTTCCTTAGCTGGTGCTACGTCACCCACCCCATGCAGCTCAGACCCTGCCCCCAGGAACATCTGTTTGCTTTAAAGATGAGTGACAGCCAGAGAGGGTGAGAGCTGAGGACAATAAAATAAAGTTTACTAATTGATATGGTTTGGCTGTGTTCCCACCTAAATCTCATCTTGAATTGTAGCTCCCATAATTCCCACATGTCCTGGGAGGGACCTGGTGGGAGGTACTTGAATCATGGGGGCTGGTTTTTCCCATGCTGTTCTCATGATAGTGAATAAGTCTCATGAGATCTGATAGTTTTATAAAGAAGAGATCCCCTGCACATACTTTCTTGCCTGCTGCCATGTAAGACATGCCTTTGCTCTTCCCTCATCTTTTGCCATGATTGTGAGGCCTCCCCAGCCATGTTGAACTATCAGTCCATTAAACCTCTTTCCTTTATAAATTACCCAGTCTCGGGTACATCTTTATTAGCAGTGTGAGAACAGGCTAACACACTCACAAAGACAAATGTAATGATTAAAGTCCAGTCCTCAGGCATTGGAGCTGGTGGCCTAGACTCAGAGCCACTCCACTGGGTCTAGCTGAGTGCCCTCGGGTACTTAGACATCCTCAGCTTCTATTTCCTTATCTGTAAGCTGGGGAGAGTAAAGCCTTTCTTGTCCCCTTTTCATGATGCTTAAAGGAAATAAATAGTGCTTGGCGCATAGTTGCATACAAGGCTGAGTTGAAGGTGTGAGAGTAGTCATGTGACAAGCCACAAATGGGAGAAGCATGTGACGCCATTCCCACAGAAGACCCACAGTGGCTTTCTCTCCACCCAGGCACTTTGTCTCCTTCCTCTACGTGCCCTCCTAAAAAAAAAAAAAAAATGCTGCAGTGGGCTGCAGTGGTGGACACAGTGGTGTCCCCCAAAAGATACGTCCACACTCTCATCCCTGGAACCTGTGAAGGTGACCTTATTTGAAAAACAAGTCTTTGTAGATGTAATTAAGTCATGGATCTTGAGATGAGATCATCCTAGATTACCTTGGCTGTCCCTAAATTCAATGACAAATGTCCTTATAAAAGACAGAAAAGGAGAAGACACACATGCACACATGTACACATGCACACACACAGACATGCATGCACACATGCACACACACAGATGAACATGCACACACAGATGCACACACACACACAGATTTGCACACATACAGATGCATGCACACACATGCACACCAAGAGATGCACACATACACATACACACATGCACAGACACACACACACGCACACATACACGTGCACACAGAGACCCATGTGCACACACACACGTGCGGACATACACATATACACATGTGCACACACATGTATGCACACACACAGAGGTGAAGCTATGTGAAGACAGAGCCAGAGACTGGAGTGTCTTTAGCCATGCACAAGGAAGCAAGGAACCTCTGGGAGGTGGAGGCTCATGGAAGAGGACCCTGAAGCCCTGGAGGGAGTGTGACCCTGTGGAGGCCTTGATTTAGACCTCCAGCCTCCAGATGTTGAGAGAACACATCTCTGTAGTGTTAAGCCACTAAGTGTGTGGTGATTTGTTACAGCAGACATGGGAAACTCATGCACACACTAGTGATGACCACCCTTGAACACCCTTGAACACAGAAGACTCCAAATCTACAGCCGAAGACCAAATAGAACTCTCATCCTCCTCCCCAAAGCAGCGCTTCACGTCTTCACCATTGAAACAGGGAGTCCCCAGGGTGTCAGCAGTAGGGCTCTCCAGCCTTCCAGACAGGGGTCCTCCCTCCACATTCAGGTGCTGCCCCGCACCACCCGCCAACCCCGCCCACAACCCCAGGCCTGCAGAAGTACCGCTTCCTCCCTCTGCCTCCCAGCCAACCTCCTCCATCCCTGCTTCACTGGTCTTCCCCAAATCCTGACTTCCTGCCAGCCCTTCCCAACCTCGGGTCCCACATGGGCCCTCTATGATGTAAGCTCAAGTTCAAGTACAAGCCCTGTGGCTGCCTGCTCATAAAGCACACTCATCTCGTTGTCCCCATGGCGGCAGGAGCCCCTTCTCACCTCCCTTGTCCTCTGTGACATTCCCATGCTCTGTCTACCTCCTGGCCTGCACGTTCCTCCTCCCTGAGCCCTGAAGCTCTGTCTCCCTCTGGTTTGCTAATTCCAATCCTTCTTCTGTTCAAGGCCCCGATGGTGGCTACTTCCTGCATGAATGACACTATGCTTAGACACTCAGTATTTCATCTTTAAATCTAGAAACCACAAAACAGGAGCTTGGTTGTTTTTTTTTTTTTTTAATGCACTTAAAATATCTCTTTCTCTAGCTATTTAATTCAGGCAAGTCTTGTCTCCCCAGCCAAACTGTTTGCTTCTTGGGGCAGCGACCAAGTCTTCTATCTCTTTTGAATCCTCCAGAGCATTAAGTGTCTGCTAGGGCGAGGCCTCCCTTGACCTAAAGCACATGACATTCACATCCTAGGTTCCTCAGCAAGGCATCTGTGGGGCAGGAAATATTTCAGAAATGAAGATCAAACTGTTGGCTCTCTAGGCATGAGCTGGGTTTCCAGAGAAAACCCAGTCAAGGTTTAGTCTCTCAGATAAATGTCTATTTATGCCTGCTGATTCAGAAAGTCTGTCTAGATTCAATTACTAGGAAAAACACTATATTATTCCCCAAGAATAAGAGTGTTAAAGAGACATTTCTCCCACCAATTAACTACCATTTATGGCACAATAATAGGATTCAGGCTGAAAACCTGAGAATGGGTGGATAAAAATAGACGCAATATCTGCTAATGACACTGTTTGACTGTTCAAAGCACTGAATCCAGGAAGCAAAGAAGAATATTTATGACAAACTGGCTGGGCGCGGTGGTTCCTGTAATCTCAGCACTTTGGGAGGCTGAGGCGGGTGGATCACTTGAGGCCAGGAGTTAGAGACCAGCCTGGTCAACATGGTGAAACCCAATCTCTACTAAAAATACAAAAAGTAGCCGGGCATGGTGGTGCGTGCCTGTAATCCCAGCTACTTGGGAGTGTGAGGCAGAAGAATCAACTTGGACCTGGGAGGCAGAGTTTGCAGTGAGCTGAGATTGCGACACTGCACTCCAGCCGGGCAACAG